TACTTCCGCGTCTGGGTCGCCCTCGTTCTTTGGGCTTCAACACACGCTCTTATTCTCCTCCCGGTCCTTCTGTCGCTTGTAGGCGGGGGCGGCTACGTCGATCCTGAAAGCGATGGTGGGCTTGAACAGGACCTTAGAAGACGCCAGTACCCTGCGCTACTCGCTGAGGACGACGAGTATGATAGCGATGACTAGGGGTATCATGGTTTCTTGGGCAAGCATTGGTGTAGCATGTTTTGAAGATGTGGGTTTGGGATATAATTCGGTTTGGGATGCATGGATGGCGTTTTCCGGTGGGTTTGGCTTTGCCCGATGAGGGTGGGGAGGGGGGGAATGAAGGAGAGGGATGGCGATTGAGAGAGAGAGAGAGGGAGGGGTGATGATGTAGTTTGTCGCTCCGTCTTCCGGCTCTTGTATGTAGGCTGGTATGATTACGCTATGGGGTTAATTTGATCATATATTGTGCAAGTTTAAGATATGAATGTTCTCGTTCAATGGGATGCCAATCTGCCCCCTTTGTAGCTACCCTACATCACCCCCTGATGCGTGCTTGTGCGCTTGTTGAAGCATACGTGTTCTAGCTACTATTATAGTGTCTGTCCTCGTGGTGCATCTCTATGTTCCCATACTGCTTTGTCAAACGCATTGCTATTCGATACCTTGACGTAGACTGGCTGGCTTTTTTTAGGGGATGGAACGTTAACCGCGGGTTATACAGTAGGGTCTAGTAACTACGTCGTGCGATTCCAAACACAATGTAAGAGTAAACGCTGCTCGTCGGCGTCTAGCTTACATCTTCTTTAGGTCCAGGGTGATCATGTTTAGATAAACAGAGTAGTAGCCAACAAAAACAAGATACCAAGTCTCGTTCGGGTTGGCAGATGTCCTAGACCCTAGCGAATACACATGCTATTTTAATCTTGAACACAAGGTAAACGCTACAACCTCGCCGTCTACCTAGCTTCTATCTCATTTACATGTGCATGCCTAGCTATACGCTATATTTCCAGTCTCCATTAAAGCCAGACGGATACATGTGCGAATATTATTACCTTCTGGTGCATGCGTAACGCGACGATGTCACCGTCTAGCTTATGTACGGACAGGCATGGTGAAGTTACGCGTGGCGTATACACGGTATGGTTTCGCGTAGTTTATGCACGAAGCGCAACAAGGTCGTAATCTAGCGGGTGTACGTGTGTATTTGGGGAGTTGTGGCGTGGTGGATGGGTTGGGTGGTTTTGTATAGTATGTATATCAGGCACTACGATGTCGCTGTGTAGCTTATGGACAATTGTATCTAGTAAAGTATACTGTAGCGGATACGATGTATGATTCCCCGTCGTATAAAGACTAAACACCGTAACGTCGTCGTCTAGCTTAGGTGTGAATGCATCTGGCAAAGTATACCGTGCCGGATACATCGTATTATTCCCCTCAATATACCTACCAAGCGCTGCAACGTCGCCGCCTAGGTCACATCCTGTGCACACATTCACACAACACCCTAATAGCTACATGCACATCAACCTCTTCACATTCACATCAAACACAGCAACGTAGCCGGCAGACTCATATATTATCCACTACTAAACCCCCATATTCCATCACTGCATAGGGCAGAATCCCAAGCAAGTGGTAACGAGAGCCTCCGAACAGCTACACCCAGTATCCACATCGCATAGATAACAACAGCCGTCAGGGTCACAGCCTACATACCATCTCTTTGCATTCGGATCACGTGCACGCGCCGGTACGTGAGGAACTGCCAGATTAGCCGGGCGCTGGGACGACAATGGTGGCAAAAGAGTGATCTGGTGCGCCGCCGGGACGGGCTGTGCTGTGCGATTCGAAGGGGTTGGCGGTGCTGTTGGCGCTAGTGAAGGTGATGGTGTAGGTACTTCCTCAGTTTCCCCCAACTCTTGACTCCCAGAACGTCTCAAACTTTCTGCATACAGACGACTACCATCCTCGTTCATGAGCTCAGTGAACCTCGAATCACCAGACTTGCGGCCTTCAGTGCAGTCTGGAGGTTCGAGCGATGAGGCTGAGGACTCATGTAGGCTCCTGGGTCTCTCGTTCGGATCGAGAAGTGTATGGGATGAGCCATTGTGGGCGCCTAGCTGATCTTCTGAGTCAGCTCCACCACGCATGAATATCATGTCGTCTCGAGAGGGCTCTGTTTGGACGTAGTGAGAGTATTGAGGAGCGATGCCTCTGTGGCTGAAATACGCTCGTGCAGTTTCTGATGCTGGCAGGCGACCTGGTGTGACTATCCATGCGCGACTTTGACCGTCTCGGGTTCTCGCTATGGTAGACAGCGTAGGGTTTCGTGGGGGAAGGCCATCTCCAAAGTGAAGGTCGTCGGACTCGCTCTCGGAACCGCTGCAGATGTCATAATCGATTGAGCCTGACTGGCTTATCGGGCCTTCGACTTCAACAACTTCAGCATATCTCCGTTGGTCCCTCAATATTACAGCCGACGCTGAAGATAGAAGGCGAAGCTGCTGCAGTGTTGACCTGAGTCGTGAAACCACGGGGGGAACAACTGGAGCCGCAGGCGAATGTTCAACGAGCGTTGTTTGACCACTGTTCAATTGCGACGGACTGACATATGCTCCTTGCGGGTGCGATGGGTTGACACATGCTCCCGGTGTATGCGGGGTGGCAGACGAGAAAGCTTCGACGACGGTTGCAGGGCCACTTTCGACTTGCGATGAATTGTCTAAGGATGCTACGAAGTGTGGGGTTGGCGCGAAGCCAGGCGGAGACGTTGCTGCATGCGTTGCTGACAGCTAATCAATAATCGAGCTGAGAGGCGACATTGAGCTGAGAGGCGACGGGCGATACGCGGTATCGTAGGCTCTGTTATACTGCACATCCTTCCAGTCTGGCAGAGCCGCAAATTCGGCGTCGGACATAAAGGCGGGATGCGAACCTGGCCGCTTGCTGTGAGTGTATTCGACCGGACGCTTCAGCCACAGGCTTGCGACATGCTGTCTCCGATGTCGCTCTTGTAATCGGGTCACCCAGCTTTGCGCTTCTTCCTGCTCTTGCTCTTCTTGCTCTTCCTACGAGCCGACCTCGTCAGCCCAGCTGCGACCCTTCTCCATGGGCGATGGCAGGCCGAAATCGTCTGTGTCCTTCACCTTCTCTTTCACCTCTGCAGGTGCCTTGCCCTTGGCTGAGGGTAGTTCTGGGAAGTCTGACGCCGAGGGCGGGACGTTGTCGCGCTTTTCCCGAGTGTTTGCCGGCCTCTCATCGGATCCTCGGTAGTCGCCACGGCCACCCCTGCTGCCACGGCCTCTACCTCTGCCTCGTCCGCGGCTAGACTGTCCGACAGGCTCATGGTAATCTTCGCCTCCGTTGTGTCCGTTGTCGACTGGTCTTGAGGGTGCGATGCCACCATGCGCGCCACGTGCAGCGCCTCGCCGCTTCTCATCTCCAGTGCCAGAGAAGCCATCTTCTTTCTCAAAGTCCCACTCCCTGCCCCCTTGCGCATTGAGCTTGCGCTGGCGGTTCTTCTCACGTTCGCCCATCATCTGTTGGCGACTCTGGCGCTCTGCCTTCTGCTTCTCCGCGAGAGCCTTCTTCCGCTCTATATCCTGCTTCTGCATGACGGCTTCGCGTGCTTCGAAATTGCCCTTGTCGGCCTCGGCGCGAGCATGGGCGCTCTGACGGGCTTCGTTCTTAATGCGCATGTTGGCTAGCTTCGTGTTCAGCTCCTCTTCTGTCAGGCGCGTGCGTGCAGGGCCGCCAGTCAAGCCTCTGTCTCCGCGGACGGCGTGTGTGGTCTTCTCCTTGGGTTCGGTGGGTGCAGAAGGCGGGGCTGAGTTGTCTGCGACATCGGTAGGGGCAGTCGCGGTCGGCGCAGCTTCCTTCGGAGCCTCAGGGGCCTTCTTGCCGTTTTCTTCTAGTCGAATGTCGGTGTTGTGCCCGCCGCGGCCTCGTCCACGGCCCCTTCCTCGACCACGGCCGCGACCACCTCTGTCGGCGTTTCTTGGCTCACGAGGCGCATGGGGTGCGAGGTGTGCTTGCGGTGCAGTCGGCGGTTGTACTTCCTCGGGAACGAACTCGGGGGCGGAAGCTTGCAGCTCGATGGGGTTCTGCTCGACGACTGGCTCGGCGATAGGCGTGATGTCGTCGTCGAAGAAGAGGTCGTCTGTACTTGCGGTCTGAGCGAATGGATCTATTGACGGGTCGTCGAAGGCGGGGTCGTAGGACGTGTTGTCGATCTGGCGGGAGTTAGTCTTGCATATGAAGCAGAGACCTACTCCAACAGTGGGAGAGACGTCAGGGGCAAAGAGAGCATAAGTCAACATACCTGTGCTGGCGCTGCTTCTGGTTGAGCGACGGTGACCTCGGGCGCTGACTGCTCCGCCTCGCCAGGCTGGGTAGCCCATTTTGACTTGAGCATCTTGACTAAAAACGAGTAGTGCTAGAAATAGTATCTAGAACGAAGTATGGAGTTGGACGTTATTTAGCGATGTTGGGTAGCGATGTGAGGAGTCTTTGGTCGTTGCGGCTGGCCGAATTACTTGCAGGAACCCTGGCACCCAAGTCCGTGCGGCAACACCTCCCCGCACCTGCAGTCTAGACCCGATGGGTCCTTCCCCCACGTCCATGGTTCTGTGGCAGCTACTCCGATGCGTACTCGCTGCTTCCTACATGATCCTTTGTGCACGCAAATCAAAGGCAATGACCCCTCGAAACCTATGTGTACAGCTCATACACGGCAGAATTGAGCAGGTGTCTTGCAGCCTACATCAAGCCCATGAACAACAAACTGCTAGAGAAGAAGGCAATGTAGACTCCAGACATTATTATTATTCTGCTAATCTTGCTACCACTAAAGTAGACCACAACATGAAAATACCTAGCTCTGTGACATATCCCCCCAGCCCATGAACGCCGTCGCTAAGTCGTAGAGATGATATACAAGGCCACCTAGCCAGTAAAATTACAAACGCATTAAAAGACAACGAAACTCCACACAAAAGCTACTCAGGCTCTCCGCCTGAACCAGGACGTCCATCAGAAACCCTCACGACAGAAGCAACATACGGGTACACCGGAACACCCGAACCATGCGTATACCCATCTTGCCCATCCCCCCAAGGCAAGCTCTCCCGCGCAGGCCAAACCTGTCCTCCCTCAGACTCAGACTTTGAACAAAACGGCAAAGCCACAACTCCCTTCTCAGGCTCAAGCGGCGACGACTCGCGACTCTGCTGCCGCGAAGAACCCGGTGAAAGTTCCGGTGGATCCGTTGGCTGGTCTTCAAGCCAACCGAGTACCTTTTGGCTCACGGTTTCCGTGAGCGGGTTGCCGACGTTGTCGAAATCCTGGCCGTGGAAGGTGTACTTTACGATACCGGGGTCTGCGAACGAGGGTGCGTGGGAAGGGCGTTTTGGAGCGGCGAGACGCATTTCTGCCTCGATGGACGATAGGGTGCGAGATGGAATTGGCGGCTTTGTTGATGGGGCACCAGGGATGGGGGATTTGTAACCCGTGGAGATGGGAGCGCTGATCTTGAAGATACCTTGGGCTTTGACTTTTGCGAATAACTCGTCGAGAGCTGATGGGGCCGTCAAATCAGCTTCAGTCAGTCCAGTCTTGATCGGCGTGATCACAAAGCCGTTGTCGTCGAAACACTTGCGAACTGGCTTGCCGATGAGTGCCAACGCGCACTCCAAATCATGCACCGGCTCCTCCTGATGGAACTCGGCGTCAACAGAAACCCTGTACTTGCAGCGAATCAGCCTCTGGCGCGGCGTCTCCATATTCTCGTACAGCGCTGCTTCTAGAGCCTTGCGCAGGGCGGCAACACCATATGCCTTTTCAAACGCTTTTGCGTTTTCGGTAAGCCATCCCGGTGCGGGGTCTTCCTTTGTGAGGGTGATCTGGATGGCGGGTGGGGTTTGGGCGACTATGATCTTTCCGAAGAGGAATGCTGGGGCGGTGGGGTTGAGCATGCTGGTTTGTGTGGTGTTGGACTTTGGAGAAGAAGGGGCAATGCTGGGTTGTAAGATGTTGGGTGTTGGAGGAGAGGGAGCGGTCTTGGGATAAGATATACTGGTGGGCTCTTGCTCGAGTTTGGTTTGGTCGCTGGCTACCCTAGTTGGAGAGTTGTTCTTGGAGCCAGTAAGGACGTCTTCGAATACAACCACGGGCAAATGTGTGCAGAAGTGCGGTTGCGGCGGAGCGGTCTTGGTACCGTTGGTAGTGTGCGATCCAGTAAGAGCGACGATGTTGGTGAGGACCGTCTCGTCAGTAGCCGAATCATGTCGAGAATGATCAGATGACTCCACGATAGCCGGCGCAGAAACCTTTACCATGGGCGCCGATCCTGCAGTTCCAATAATGTCTCCTCCTACAGGTGCAGTCTTGTTGATAATGATGGTAGCGATCGGCGCGTACGAGGCCCTGTTTGCGGTAGTCTTCTCGGCGGCGGCGGTGCGCTTCGCCAGCGCCTTCTCTTTCTGCGCCCTCTTGTGATTCTTCAAGCCCTTGGTCTTCTTGCAAGCGACGTCGCCGGTAGCATCCTTACGAGAAGCCATATTCGCGGTTCGCAGTGAGAGTGCGACTAAGTGCTGTCAGGGGGTGCTTCACATCACTGGCGCAAGTTCTGACTTACATATATTAATGGCAATAGTATAAGCGAGACTTTATTATAGCGTTCAAGACCTAAGCGATGACTTCGGTTCAAGAGAACTGGATGTACGCAATAAAGCGGGTGAGTATAGAGGGGAGTCGAACGAATGTGATGAGCCTTGTCCGGTGCCTTGGGGCTGCTGGCGATGGTGTTGCGCGGGTAAGATTACCTGGGGTGGAGCGCAAGCAGGTTGAGCGTACGCTGGCCGCGGTAAGGTATCGACTACTACGAGTGTCGCGCGCTGTATTGGACACTAGTACCGTGAGAGTGGAAGTGATGTAATAATGTGAACAATGGCGTCCGTGCGTTGAGACAAAGTAAGAGTGAAAGGAATGACAGTGTGACTAGACGAGCATTGTTTGACAATCACATTGTTCAGGACGGCTCGGTCATCACGTGGAGTTGGCAAAGCTTAAGAGTATGGAAGGAGAAGTATGATATCGTGAGACAGATGTGATATAAAGTATCTGTGGGACGGCTACAGCGCCCCGATATGACCACACCGGTCCAATCCAACGAGAATTCTTGGAGTCGAAACGACCTTGACAACACGTACTACTGACCTGACCTTGGCGAAGATCCTACATCCAGGTTCCGAGCTTTCGTAGAACGTCTGGCGCTACTTCGTCACCTTACTCTAGATAAGCAACAGCACATGCGCCGAAGAAGTCTTGTGGGGTGAATTACCTTGCACCGCTCGTTGTAAGCAGGTATCTCGAAGATGAGAGCACATGAGCTGTAGGAGTAGTTGATGTCTGCCATATTGCCGTACTGTGTAGATAGTCAGTAGAAGTTCAAGAGCGCGTGCGTGAAATTACTCACTGCGAGGAAGCCAAACTGCAGATTAGTTGTAGTATGACGATTCAACCATCGGACATGAAGTCTGTCGTGGGGGTACTGGGCGTAGATCTCGCTCCAAGTGTCATCCTCGTCGCCACCAACACTTGACATGACGGGGGCTGAGAGCTTCTTGCCGATACGCGCGAATTGTAGGTGCTTTTGGTCGTCATCTTCATCGGTACGGTTCTCCGACCTGTCGTCTTCTTCGTCTTCTTCGTCTTCTTCGTCTTCTTCGTCTTCTCCCGAAGTCAAAAGTACGGGACGAACGCGCGTCTTGATGCCCAGCGAGCGAAATACCTCATATGCCATAAAATCTGAGCCTTTGAGTAGGGCAGGTAGAGCCTTCGAGCCCTCCTTGGTGGCGTGAGCATATGCATGATCGCAGTACTTTCCGAGGTAACCGCCTGGAATGATGTCAGTGATGTTCCCACAGTGATTAAGCTTGTCACAAACCTTTGGCCATGAATTCCGGACTGTTCAAAGCGTTCGCCACCTCGCGATAGAGCGGCAGCTGTTTGAAATCCAGCGCGTCGGCGTGTCCTGCAAGCTCGCCAAGACCTCGGCGCACGAAGAGGTTGTATGTAAGGGTTATGCGATGACCCGCAGTGACTTCGAGGACCTCATGCTCACAGTCGCTGTAGAAAGCTGCCCATTTTGCAACGTTGGCGTCGCCAGACCAATCGAACGTAGTGGTATGGCCTTTGTGGCGGACAACGAGCTGGCCTCCTTCGTGAGCGCACGGCAGACAGACGACGAGTGAGCCGAATTGCATCTCGGAACGTGGCGTATCGACGTGTGGCTTGAACAGACCTGACGGTACTCCGTATACCTGAGTTGACTGTCAGCATGTCTCGATCATTGGGATGGGAGAAAGCGATAAGGCGCGCACATTCAACTTGTAGAGCTCTGCTCGAACACCCTGTGACTGATCCGGAGACAGTGGAAGTAACGCTTGCGCAACAACATCGATGATGCCGGTCTCATAGGGACAGAAGTTGGTGGAGAAGGCAGAGGTGTCGAGCTTGGAGGCCTTGCGATACGACTCGTCGATGATGTCCTTGCCCTTGTATCCGAATCCAGCAGGCTCAGTGCCTTCGAGGAGCTTCGCGAGTGAATCGTCCACTTCACCCTTACTGCCGACTTGGAGAGGTAGGATTATTTTTTCGATGGCGCTTGCAGAGTCCCAGCGGATGGTGATCGCCGAGCTAGGGCGGATGTTGGCGTCATCCGGGCTGTTGAGAGAGCCGCCGCACGCGTACGTGGAATGTGTAAGTATATCCTGGAGAGCCTTAACGATAGGCTCAATCGGATTGTTATCAGCCGCCTGAGCGTCGTCACGGTCGTTGCTAGCCATATCTGCAGTCTGTGTACGTAGAGTTTGTGAGTAAAAGGCAAGAGCGCGTTTTATATGCAAAAGTCGAAAGAGCTTGAAGATGACACGTTATCACGTGTACTCGCGAGTAGTCCAACTTGATTGGGGGGAGGGTTGCCTATTACTAGGCAACAACGCCCTTGTGTTCCCTGTAATCTTCGTCCTATGGTACTGCGGTGACGCTACGAGGACGAGCGACTCACAACTTCAGAAATTCATATGTACCCATTTAACTAGGTCCTCTCGAAAAGAGAACTATGGTCAACGCAAGAGCTTGTGTTCCCTGTACCACCTACCCTGTGCGTTGCGCGTGGGAGCGAGACGAAGGAAGTCAACACAAACATATCATTCGACGCAGCAGAAGCAGCTCAAGGCAGCAGTGCGACCTTTCTTTGTCATATGATAACTTGATGTAACGGTCGCAGGTTTGCTGTACTTCCAATGGCCATCGGGGTGAAGCTTGCGCTCTTGTCAGTAAATTAGCCGGGTATGATAGCGTCTGTCTTCGAATTTATCGCTGAAAGCTAGGATCGACCAGGCTTGATCCGTTTCGAATGGAAGTGAAGAAGGCAGCCGCTTCTGATCGATAGGGTATTTGCGTCCCCGTGTTAAAGGACAGATGATACCAAATTGTGTGATGTGAAGTGCAGACGTGAGCATGAGTACGTGTGAATGCCTCGAGATTACATGGCACAGGAGGATTTGGAGGCGTTTACGACAAGGTAGTCTGTAGGGAAACATCGTGCGGGTACGGGAACAATCTCCTCATAGGTACGGTGAACTTCTCTGCCGTGCGATTGTCACGGAATGTGTGTTAGATGGGGCCGGATCGCCAGCGCTGAGCCGTCTCAGAGCATGAAGATGAATTAAGAAGCAGTCGCTACGAAGACAGGTGGACGTGCGAGGAAGATTGTAGACCGCGATGGTTGTGGGTGGGCGTTGGAGTGTTGTGATGACGCGCGCTTACCTTGGAAGGTACGCGGCGACAAGCCCGAGCCTTTCGGACGCTAAACTTCATTGCGACAGGATCGCGCTTACTAAGTATCGCGAACACTTTCTACGCTCTATGCATACCTTCATCTTATTGACTCACCCCGCTGTGTCGACCTTCCAAAATGCCGGATATAACAGCCAACGATGGTATTCATCTGCACTACGAGACATATGGCTCTTCCGGTGCCGCTCCCTTGATCTTGGTGAGCTCCCCGCCCTCGAGCGCGTACCGCCACCAGGCCTGACATTGGTCGCTAGCTGCACGGCTTCACGGGTTCAGGTGCAGTCTTCAAGCGCAATGTTGCCGCACTCGCAAAAGCTCACCACGTCATCATTCCCGACCTGCGCGGCCACGGCGACTCCGGTAAACCAAAAGCCGGCTACAACGTGGCACGCCTAGCGATGGATCTCAAGAACTTGATCGAGTTCTTCGGTTTCCGTGACGGCACCATCAAAGCCATAGGCACGAGCCTAGGTGCTGCTATTTTATGGAGCTACAGCGAATTGTTCACGACTGGCGCATTCTCGCACATGGTTTTCGTGGACCAAGCTCCATTGCAGAATTATCTTGAGGATTGGGGCCCTGAGTTCGGAAACCTGGGATGCAACAATGTAGAAGCACTGAACGCGATGCAAAAGACACTGATTTCCAACCCAAAGGAGGCGCATCTCGGTACCATCGCAGCGTGCTTGGGCTACAGATCTCATCCGCGACCCCGAGACCCTCAGTCGGATTCGTCACAGTGGGAAGATGACGAAGCGTTCTTCCTGGCTGAAGCACTGAAAGGCGATGGGTGGTGGTATGGGAAGCTAATGGCTGACCATACGGCGAACGATTGGCGACATCCTATCGCTCATGCTTTCGGACCAGAGAGCGGTAGTGAAACGAAGGTACTGGTCGTAGCAAGTAGCCGAAGTGGATGTTTTCCGGCTGCGGGACCGCTCAAAGTTGTGGAGCTGGTGAATGGAGGCGGAAAGGAAGGACTCGCAAAGGGAGTGACGGTGGATTGGGGTGGCCATTGGTGTTATTGGGAGAAGCCGGAGATGTTCAATGCGCTTGTCATTGACTTCTTCTCGTGAGCACAATGTATGCTGTACTGACTTGATGTTGCTGCGACAGAATAGTTCGTATTATTGATCATCTCGACGTTCGTACCTATAGGTCCTATTTCATAGCCAAAGGAACGAGAGGGGTAACGCTTCAGACAACGAATTCTTCCGCAGGCGCGTCAAACCCTGCAGAGCGCCGCTAATGAGTGGCATATGGGCAAAAAGCTGGCGAAAGCATACCACAGTGGGGATTTTGAAGCATTCATCCGCAGAGCCACTTCTAAACCGCCGGCATCCTGCTTGTATATGGCTGAGCGGCCGTAAAAGTTCACTATGTGGGGTTCCCCAGGCTAAAGATGCGGCTCCCGGAGGCTCTGGGGCTAGCGCATCTAAGTTGTGGCTCGTAGCGAGCGAGTCTGCCTCGAGACGAGCATGACTCGCCTCGATCCCCGCAACACTGTCACGTATATATGCTCTGTTGGCCGCATCTTCATCGCATTATCATTGCGCACTTCTGTCTCTTGCAAACACATTCCTCTTCAGTTTTTTACAGCATTGAATTGCCTTCATTCCGAGATTTCGAGCTTCAGAGTCAGAAACCCGATCACCACAGAACTGAATCAAGAGTTTTAAAGAGCAGAACACCGACGATGTCGAACAACATCCTCATCACCGGCGGCGCCGGCTTCCTAGGCCCTATGCTCGCCGCCAAATTGGCAAAAGATCCCTCAAACAAGATCGTTCTGACCGACCTTCGCACACCCCAACGGCCAGCTGGCATCCCAGACTCTGCACCCAACCTAGAGCTCACAGCCGGAGATCTGACCTCCCAATCGGACATCGACAAACTCCTTTCCATGCGCCCTCAATGGTCAGCCATCTTCCTCTTCCACGGCATAATGTCCGTCGGCTGCGAAGAGAACCCCGCGCTTTCCACCAAAGTAAACCTAGACGCCACCCTTTCCGTTCTTACATCCATTTCAAAACTCCAACAAGCGACTAAACCCCGCATTGTTTACGCTTCGACCCAGGCCGTTTACGGCCCACCGTATACGGCAACAGGCCCTATTACAGATGACACTCCCGCGACACCAATTGGCGTGTACGGCACTCACAAGGCCATAATGGAGAAGCACATCGATGATCTTAACCGCCGTGGTCTAATCGATGCCTTCTCCGTGCGCCTACCCACCGTTGTCGTCCGTCCAGGTGCGCCTTCGCGATCGGCAGCAGCGTTTCTAAGCGGCCTACTCCGCGAGCCACTAGCCGGTCTCGAATGCATCGTCCCCATCAGCGACCGCTCAGCACGCCAGATGATCTGCTCACCGCGCGTCATTATCGAGAACTTTGTGCGCGTCATGAAGGCGCCGTCGGATGCCATGCCCTCGCATATCCGCGCGGTGTACATGCCGGGTATCAGTGTCACCCTTGGAGACATGTACGCGGCGTTTGAGGCGGTAGTTGGAAAGGAGAAGCTGAGTCTGTTGCGGGAGGAGGTGGATGAGGAAGCGAAGAGGTTGCTGGATAGCTGGCCTCAAACTGCGGAGTTCGGTAATGCGACGAGGATGGGGTTGTTGTTTGATGAGAGTTGCGAGCAGATATATAGGGAGTATGCTGATAGTCTTAAGGCATAGGCTTTGGAGGAAGAATTTATCGCGAGTTTCAACATCCACATTCCACATCATCATCGCATGTCGCAAGGATAGCGACCGCTTACTCATGCAACAGTCTCAAAATATAGGTCCTCCTCGATTCTTTCCACGTCCAAGTATCCCGGCTTCTCCATGTCTACCTCCCACCTCTTCATCTTGTCTTCTAGCGTCCCAGCCAGCAACTCCTCCTTCTTCCCCCACTGCCACCGGCTGAAACCCCCAGGCCCCTCAACCCGAGCCTTATAAGTGCGACCAGCATTCAACCCTTCCATACTGCGCACATACTCCTTTTCGTTCCCTAGCTTCTCCAGTGTGCATTCAAATCGCCACGGTCTGTTCGCTGAGATCTGCACGAAATCATCATCTTCCGGGAACTTTGGATGGGGATCGTAATCGTAGCAGACGAAGACGGCACCCCACTCAACCTTCTCCCCGGTATCATTATCTCGGCAGTCAATCAGTTGGTCGATGCAGTGCAGGTTTGTTCCGGTACATAGTGTGGTGACTGAAAGTGGGGAGCGTGATTTATCGAACACGAAGGGCTCGTGACTGTCGGTCGTGTATTCGATGACGAGGGTGAACGGATCTGGACCGTTGACATGAGCTTTACTGGGCATCTCCAGTCTGGCAAAGAGTTTTGGAGGCGCTGGGTCGTCGTGGACGGTGAAGTAGTACGTGCCACCTCCCTCACGATGAACGGGCAGCTTCTGCGCTGATGTAAAGCTTTCAGAATTGCCATCGAGCTCATCCGTATAACATGCGAAAACTTTGCCAGCTTTCCCTGACAACCGCAAACCGTATGTACACCCGGGTTGCAAGACCTCTTTCCACAAAACATGTGTTGTTTCCGTCAACACACTAATCGATACTTCCCGATACTGTGGAAATGCCGTAGGGAGTATGTTGTACTGGCCTTTCTTAGGTGACGTGAAAGATGGCAGCGTGATAACACCTGCATATTCCTTGCCAGATTCCACGAGTTCGAACAGTCCAGACCTCAATGCCTGTAGGACAGTGTTTCGCCCCCTTCCAATAACAGTAAGACCATTGCAGAACAGGGTTATCGGGCGGTCTGTCTCTGGAGTTGTAGTTATGAGGTGGCCGAGGTCACGACGTTGTTTGCGGTTCAACTGGAATTTGTCGTTGGTTTCCAACTCTTCGGCCTCAAACCGGAGGGATAGACCGTTGCTTGGTGTGGCTTTACTTGTCATTGTGAGCGCATGCTTCGTGGTATGTGCAACGCAGGCCTGGTCAATAATCGAGAGACAGATGTGTAAGGTTAAAGAGAGTGATCACGTAGCTGACAAAGGCGTGGAAAGATTTCTGACTAGAAGAGAGTAATCGTGAATGTGGTGGCAATTGGAAAGGCTGTGCCGTGTCGAAATCCTAATAAAGATGTGACGTCATGTCAGACCTAGAACCAGAGAGGGCAGCCCTTGTCAAATGAATCAGTATTGGTTCTCTCCGCCGCCTCAAAGGCCATGCCGGCCGGAAATTACTGACTGGATACTTCTGAGAATGTAGAGTAGATATTTCCTAAAAAAGCTTCTAATGATATTTGTACCTTCATGCGCTCATTGGCCATGATGTCAGGATGGCAACGATTATACTCAATCGTCTCCGCAAATCCGTTCAATCTGATCGTATGACTGCATTTACGTGTAATGTGATGTTAATCAGCGTCTCAAACGAGTCTCGGACGCTTGGAATCGATACAGTGTTCGTCATGAGACGCGTGTTCGTGGTCTCGTTTCCCACGCTGCGCCATTCGGTGCCCCATAGTGGGACGCACATGTCTTGAAGATCTTGTACCTCCCGGTTCCATGTAAACACTATGTTGCGACAGTGTTTGGTTTCTTCTATGGTCAATTTCTGCTTGCAGCACTCTTTTAACCAGGTCAAGCCGGCTATTCGATAACTTGGAATGACTGATTTCCATCCACAGTAAAACCTTTTGAACCTCGTCGATATGCGGGTCTGCTCCATATTGCAGAGAAGTGAGAAACATGGCGTGGACCTCTTCGTGGTTCTGACTGGTGTAGTTGGCCTGTTCGGTCCCAAGCAGGACTGCGTCGAGAAGTATCTCCCACAAAGTGCGGCCGCCACTTGTAAGCCCATTGGGATCCAATCCGTGTTGGAGAAGGACACGATACTGCCCAATTAGCGTAAACAGTTCACCTATCTTCGTACGTGACAATTGTTCACAGAAGTTGGTAAACCATCCCACACTGGCCCTGTCGCAGAATATGACGGAAACATCGGCACCACGTCGGAGGAACTCCCGCAAGAGCTCCAATTGCAATCGGGGTACTGCATCATGCACCGGTGGAATTCCAGGTACTCTCATAGAAGCAATTCCAGCATTGCGTATCAACATCTTAAAAAGGTCCGTAGTCATCGTCGTTCCCTGTCTCAAGATATTTGGATTCAGTCCGTAGCGGAAAAGGTACCCCACGTGTCTCAGAGTGTTTCGCAGACCGTGTTCTGATCCAGTATCCGTGCGGTTTAGAATCTCGATCCAGTTTTCAGTCGCCATATTCACGTCAACGCCCTTCTTCAGAAACAACTCCAGAACTGCCCAATATTGCTCTTGATGTTTGCCGTCCATTAGTCTAGTTGCTTCGCCTGCAAGAGCGTACCAGCTCGAGGTCTGATCGACTACGGCATTGGGGTCGGCTCCAAGTTCAAAGAGCACTTTCACCAAGAAAGGTAAAGGGACGTTAGCAACAGGACCAGAAAAAGAGGAAGTGTACCAGTCTGTGGAAAGCCCAGCCATGCGATGTTGTGCCTGGGCGGAAGGTAGACAGGAACTGTCCGTTTCGTCGGAAGCAACTGGACACGCTATTGCATGTTTGAGAATACAGTTGAGATCCAAAGAATCACCGTCCCTGTGCACTCGATATCTTAAGTACCTTGGGTGGCCGAGCGAGGCTACATGTCGGAGGATGTAACAGTTTAGCCCGCACTTTGAATGAGATGACCTCATGCGTTCATTTTCTGATTCTGCCTGGTCGTAGAGTGCAAAAGCATGAGCGATGTTTCCTGTTTCCTGAACACCTTTTCTAGCCAATTCCACAGCTAGCTTGTAGATCGAGGCAGGCGAGGACTCTACGATGAATTTGGATTCGGCAATTAGGGCACGGCTGATAGCAGTGGATACATTGAGCTCCCCCGAAGCCCAAGCCCGAAGTTTCTCCCGCATGCGCTTCGTAGCTAAGAAGTCATTTAACGTACGGTGTAGAAAGTCGACTTTGGTCTGCGCACTGAGTTCGGCCGTAGGAGTGGCCTCCAGAAGACCTTTGAATCGACCATTTAGCCTTCTCTCGGTTTGATGGGCTCGTCTCTGAATTGCGGAGTATCGCCACCTTTTGCTGGGTACATCCAGTGCGAAAGCCGAGTTTTCTTGTTCCAAGAAGTAGTAATTCATCAAATTCAACTGATGAGGGCTACTCATGGCGGCAAGGAAGGTACTAGCCATCCTTTTTCGATAAACCCCATCCACGGATCGTATGATCTGATCGAAGAAGTCCTCTAAGTCCGACGGTATCTTACGCAAACGCTGTTGTAATATGGATGTGGGGTCTTCGTTTTCGATACCATTGCACAGCGATCGCACCACTAAGCGAACCCAGAGGAAAACCCCTTGTGCTCGCTCCCCGATCTCGCGTACCAGATCGTCAAAGAGACTTGGCTCAAAGTCTGTGCAGACACGATGGCTCTGCAGATTCTCCCGTGCAAATAGCTCGATGTCTGATCTAGTGAACTCGTGTAGTCGGATCGTGTTGGGATTGGCCTTCCCAAAAGAATTTTGAAAGCAATTCCATGGCCTACTGGAAACGCAGAGCTTTACGTTCGCGGTAGCAGACAGATCACGCAGTGTGTCAACCACCTCCCAGCTGTCACCATAGTACTCGTCGAGGCCGTCTACCTGGAAATAGAACTTAGTAGTGACGTTGGCTTGTGTTTGAAACAATTTTAAGGACCTCCTAAGCTCGGGAAGGGTCCATGACATTCTCGACGCGATGTAATTAGACAGGAGTGGAGATTCAGCATCCCATCTTTCAGGACACATTGTCGGAGCTAACTCGGGGCAGGCGTGGAGTATGTGATACAACAGCGTCTGGAGGAGTCCTTCTAAAGATTTTTGCATCTGTTGGCCTGGTAACCAAAAGTAGAAACAGGCTCTAACCAGCGGTGCGTCTCCAGACCAGACCTGAAGACTTCGGATAGTTTCGCAGTGGTCGTAAAGATATTTCATCAACGTTGACTTCCCGGAACCTGATATATCGATTAGCTGTTGGCTAGGAAATCAAAAATAGTCAGAGCTCACCTGGCTTTCCTGTAATCCAATAAGTTCCACTGCCACATTGCAGCCATTGTGTGAAACCGGTGCTTGCTCGCGGAGAGACAGACATGTCGGAAGTTTCACGGCCGTACATCCACTCAAATGTTTTCTGGTGAGCATCACCAATGGCGCTCTGCCGCATTTGCATACAATCGTAGCGGAGGCTCGCGACGATCATGTGGCACCGGGAGACCTGATGAACCTTCAATGAAAGCTGGGAGAGACATTCATCGAGCCTTTTCCAGAAGATGTCGCCGTGGAGATCTGAGACGCCCTTTGAAGTAGTTTGGAGCTGCTTGTCCAGGTTCTGAATTTGCGCAGTGAACCCGTAATTTGCTTGTATGTTCTTCTTCTTCCAATCTTCCAACAAATCCAGAAGCTGAGCTTGGTTGTCTCTACGGATGGGTTGATTAGTTGGTATGCAGGCCTGTGCCAGGAAACATTACCTTGTGTCAGAGACCAGATGCATCATCATCTGGTCCCTAAGTCGTTCCAACCTCCCTTTTAATTCGTCGATATGCGGTTTATCCCACACATATTTGAGAGCTTTGCGAAAGCTTCGCCACCTCGTTGGTGATTTTCCAACACCCGACGTCTGCTGCTTGTGTTGGAGCTTGTCAATTGCGGCTAGTAATTCTCCGGCAATAGCCTCGCAGTGCTTCTTTATGATGGAGAGTTGCGTGGATGAGCTCCTGTTTGAACTCATGTTCCTACTGAAAGTCATAATGTCCTGAGAAATGACGCTGAGCTCGATGTTTTCGCTCAGTGCGCCCGACGAGGACTGTTGAAGGTCCTTGGTTTTCGACACAAGCGTAAAGCTGAAGCAAACAAATTGGACAATATTGGCGGCAAGACCAATGGCAACAAGAGCCTCCGCCATCCTGGTTCAGAACTCCTCATTCCAGATGGGCCGTGAAGGCGTGACCGAGCGAGTTGCGAGCGACCTCGCTTTCATAGACCAGACGGTGGGGGAGGCGGCTCGACCGATCCAGGCTCCGCCATAATCAGGCTGAGGGCTATGTCGATGTGTGTCGACCCATGATTCGACGCGAGGACGACAGCGGTGGCACGACATGCTGCGCACATTTCGACAAGGCAGAATGATGCTCTCATGCAGCGCCGTTCCGGTGAAGTGTGGCTGTTTTGGCTGGTGACGATTGGAGGCCACGAGCTCTGGTGCTTGGCGATGTCCAGGTGCGCCTGCCACCACACCGGCAAGGCACACGCAAACGGCAAGAGCACGACTCCACGACATCCTTTGAGTGGAGCTGACATCAGAACAATGTTAGTGTCAATGCAATGCATGCGACAAATTGCCTAGAGATCATCCATTGGGTAGGGAAGCGAATTGTACATTACGGGTTTTGAGATTGGCTCACCATAGCCTATTAGCATCGCTCGAGCGCCTACACTTGCGATGCATTACTGATGCTAAGCAGACTGCACACGCGAGATTGCGACGCGCCAGCCTCATCTTCCCGCCACCATGCAACTCTTCGCTTCCTAGACTCTCCCCCTCAACCACTCGCCCGCCCGCTTAGCCATATTCACAGCTTCCTGGTTGAACCCTAAGAGATGTCCCAGAAGAAGGATATCATGCGGAACATGCTCTTCAATATCCAACTGAATATCATTACCCGCCTCCTTCATCTTCTCCGCCCACTCTACGATATCAAAGTATAGTACCTCGCCGCTACCCGTGTTCACAAACATAGGCACCTCAGTCTTGAACGTCCGGTTCTTCTGCGACACATAAGGCTGCGACAGCACCTTGTCCCCACCCTCGCCCGCATACGCGGTTGTGCCCCACGCCGTGAAAGGTGGGGAGATGTAGTCGGTAGCGTAGTTGCGGTTGTCGTGGACGTA